AATGCAGATCACACCTTCTTTGAAACGCTGTCTGCTGAGCAGATACAGTGACATTTCTTTTGCATGCAGTCCTTGGAAACATAGAGTTACTTTCACATGCAAGAGAAGTTTGCTTGCTTCTTTAAAGTTTGAAGAACAGAGAAAATTTAATCTCATCAAATGGCTATTGCAGGAGCTCAGAGGAGAATAAATCTATCAATTTACTATTCTGTTTCTAGACAAGAAAGTAGCTTTATTCCAGTCTTTAACAGATAGATAACTCAGAAGAACAAACACGAGATAATTGCTTTATTCTGGGGATCCTAGACAAACTTACAGTTTGCAGAGGTGCGTCCAAGAATAGGTGGTAGCAATCTGGTTGTTCCACAGGTAAATTGATATTAGATTTTCCCCTCTTCTCCCAAGCGTCACATGGTGGGGTGAACGGGAAGTCTGCAGCCATGTGGCTGCATGAGATGGTCAGAGAACAAAAGGCTGCCCTCAGGCTAGTGTCCAGGGATGCCTTTGAAGCTCCGCCCCCCTGACCCTTGCTCCCTCCCCTTGCCCTGTTACATAGGTATACATAGAGTTATACAAGAGTAAATGGATCTATGATCCAGAACACTTGATATTAGTAGTGTTATTTTGTAACCACTTTATATTGATATTAGTAGTGACACTTTCTAATCATTTTATATATAATTTTGTTTATGTGCAAGCAGCTTTGTAGGTGCCTTATATTGGGAAATCATTTACATAAAAGCAAATGGCTCATGCTAAATAGACAGGAGATTGCTTACATGGAAGGAGCAAGGTGAGATTCAGGGGTCCAGGAAATAGGGAGGGGAGAAGATGAGCAAGCTTTGGAATTGGTTTTCCTGTGCTTCTTTACTCCTGGTACTGAGACTTGAGTCTCTTTGTTCTGGAAGGGTATAAAAAGTGGAAGGAAACTTTTCTGGGTGTGTCTTCACCCCTCTAACCAGCCACGAAGAGGGAGGGAGACACCCAACTCTGTTTTGATCAAAATAAAAGTCGTTTTCTTGTTGAAAGCTCGGCTCAGGAGTTTCTTTGGCTCTTCAAAATTCCTGAGTAGCGCAGGGAAATTTGTGAGGTCAAGAGGAGAACAGTACACAACTATCCGGGCATCATCCCCTGCTACACTCTGTGGTTGTGGCTGCCAGTCCACTCTGCTCCCTCACGCAGACACCTCCACTTGCCCCGGGTCAGCTGGACTCTGCTGTCTTGTTCTTCCTCATGCAGCCTCCTTCTGAAGGACCAGTCACATGGTGGGATGATGGTCAGACTGCCGGTTGGTCTCTCTCTCCTGCCTCTGCTCCTTGATTGAAATGCCCTGCCGGCCTGCCTACCTCTCTCCCTCTTTCCCCTTCCTCCTCTTTTCTCATCCTTTCCTCACAGACTTTTCTCTACCTTCACCCACACTCCTTTCTCCCCCTTTCCTTAACCTATCCTCATGCATCGCTTGCCCCCCCTCACTTGGTGGCGGGAAGAATAGATGAGCGGAAGGCCCCACTTCCCTCCTCTTCCCCCAGAGACATTCACCTCTCCCTCTCTATCCCCTGCTCTCCTCCACTTTCCTGCCAAACCTCCTCCTTTTCATCCCCCCCTTGATGGAGGCCAGATCAGCTGCTTGGCCGTGCTTCCCTTCTCCCTCAAGCTTGCCCGCAACGCGATTCCATCTGCCCCTCTCACCCTCTCTATCTCTATCCCCTGCTCTCCTCCTCTTTCCCGCCAAAACCTTTCCTTCCCTTCTCTCTCTTCCCCCATGATACAGTTAAAACGGGGCAAAGCTCACCTAACAACTGTCTCACTTGGGCTCAATTGTGGTTTGAAGTCAAGGGCTGCCTTCATTAGGTATGTTCACTTGGATTCTTCACATGCTCCTTTGCCAGCAGCAGCTTGTCAGTCTTCAGTTGCTCGAATGCTTTGAGATGTTCCAGAGAGCCGCGGTTAGCATTCAAAATCACCGTATCGGAGTTAAGATTCATTCCCCTTATTATTCACCTTTATTTTTAAAATAACTCAAGGGGGCAAACATATCCAACACATCTTCCTCCTCCAATTTTCCCCACAACAACCACCCTGTGAAGTGGGTTGGACTGAGAATAACTGGCTCAAATTCACACCGTTGGCTTTCATGGCTAAGGCAGGACTTGAACTCAGAGTCTTCCTCTTCCTAACCTGGCGCCTTAACCACTACACCAAACTGGATCTGACTCCCATCTCAGTATCAAGCCACTTTTGGGGTGTCTCAGATTTTTTTTTTTTATTGGAAATTTTTAAAAATTTTTACAATATAACTCCCCACCTCCCTCATACCCCACCCTTCCCCGCCCCCCTCCCTTCCCCCCGACTTCCCAGAGCTACACACAGGGTTTACAATACAATAATTATATTCTGTCTTAAATTATATTATCCTTAAGTTAACAATTCTATGACATCCTTTAGCTCTCTTCTAAACTAACATATTAAACATCATTATTACAAATTATTTAATTTTAATAAAATATACTTCATTAAGAATCACAAATTTACTCAAAAACCAAATGAAACTTTTTAGTTCCATATTTCTTTTCTATATAATCTATCCATCTTCTCCAAACCAGTATATATCTTTCTTGTGAGTAATCCTTCACATAGGCTGAAATCTTAGCCATTTCTGCTAAATTTGAAACTTTAAATGCCCACTCTTCTATAGTAGGCAAACGATCCGTTTTCCAACATTGAGCTATTAATAACCTCGCAGCAGTTATCAAATTCAGCATCAATTCCATTTCTTTTTTATCCAAATTTTCCATAATACCCAACAAAAATAGCTGAGGCTTAAACTTTATCTTTTTCTTAAAGACATTTTGAATATTCCACCAAATCTTTATCCAAAATGCTT